GCGGAGGACCTTTCACAGTAAGTATCCAGTGGTCCTTCCATAGGAAGGCTACATGTGTGAAAATGTGTTATTTTCAAGCCAAATCAGTATCTCCTGTACATTCGGTTCCCATGAATTGTTCTCCTCTGCCAAGTGCTCTCGAGAAGAGTTCCAGAGAAACAAGGAGCCATTCAAGTTTGCTTTTGAATTTGTCCAGGGTCACCTCTCGAGGGTGTTGCCGCTGAACCAGCTTGATGCCAAAGGAAGCAAGTGGAAGCAAACAAAACGCCGAAAGATCCTCCTTCATGGGGGGGGGGGCTTATTCCATTTATATCCTGCTCTACCCCGCAAGCGGGCTCAGGGCGGCTCACAACATATAGGAAAACAGTAAATAGTAATTCATAAAAACATCATAGGCGCATCAATTTAAAAAAATCCCAGATGGCAGCGTAACAGTTCTGACTACAGTGAATGCCGCAACAGTGTCGGGGAGGACACATTTCTCTCAAAGCCAGAACCAGCAGTGCCCTAGGCGGATGGTGCAAATTAAGCAGATTGGTCATGTTGAGCAGGGAAGGCCGGTGTCATTTGGATGTCTGCCACCTCAGCCAAAAGCCCGGTGGAACAGCTCCATTTTGCAGGCCCCACGGAATTATAATAAATCCCATAGGGCCCTGATTTCAATTGGGAGCATGTTCTACCAAGAGGAGCCGGGGCTGGAAAAACCCTGGCCCTGGTCGAGGCAAGGCAGATGTCCTTTGGGCCGGGGACTACCAAGCGGTGCTGTTCAGAAGAGGGCAAGTCTCTTCGGGGCACATTTGGGGAGAGACGGTCCCGTAGGTATGTTGGTCCCTGGCTGCATAGGTCCTTAAAGGTTAGTGTCATAACCTTGATTCCGATCCAGTGCTCAACTTGACAGCTAATGCAGTTGGCGCAGCACTGGCTGTATGTGCATCGGCATAGATATCCCAGTCAGCAGGCATGCCGCTGCATTTTGTACCAGTTGAAGCGTCCGGATCAGACTCGGGGGTAGGCCCGTGTAGAGTGAGTTGAAGTAATCTAACCTGGAAGCGACCATTGCATGGATCACTTGTCACAAGGTCCTGGGGAGAGAGGTAAAGAAACAAATGCCTGACCAACTGAAGATGGTAGAAGGCTGGTCTGGCAGCATTGGTGATCTGGGCCTACATAGAAAAGGAGGCACCCAGAATCACCCCTAAGCCCCTCACCATTGGGGTCAGCCCCAGTGGCACCCCACAAAGGGCTGGGAGTCAGATTCCTGCTCCTATCCCCCCACGTCTCCGGGTACAGGACCCTCCCTCTTCACCGGATTCAGCTTCAGCCGGCTCTGTTGCAACCAACCAGCCACGGCCCCCAAAGCCCTAGCCAGGTTTTCTGGGGCAGAGTCAGGTTCGCCATCCGTCAGCAGGTACACCGATGACAACCCAGCCCAAACCCTCGGATTAATTGGGCGATCTGGATTCTCAGTGCAGTAAGACTGCCTTGACTTGAGCATGCATTTGCCAGTCACTTCAGCAAAGCCATATCTTTTACCTTAAGTGCAGGAAAAGAGGGAAAAGCTCCTGTGTCCTCATCTCAAGATCATTTCACAAAGCAGGGAATAAATCATTGGCAGTGTTGCTGGGTAGGGCAGTTAGCAATGTGCCATGAAGAAATGCCCAAGTTTAGGATTCGTTTTGGTGAGAGTGTGTGCGTAGCTTTCCTAGCAATAACAAGGTCTTGCTGCTGCAACAAAGGAAAGTGTACCCTGCTGAGAGAGCTAATTGTGTAGCTGAAGCCATCCTGGAAGCCCTAGGCCTGCCAACTTGAAACAAGCCCCCGCAAAAGCCCTCTTGTGTCATTCAGTGTAACAAACGCAGCCTTTTAATCGTGCCACAGTTCATGCCCATCCTCTAAAGATGATCACAGTTTGCAGCGCTCTTCACTACCCACAGCTTGTCTAAGCACTCGGGAAAAGGTGTCTTTGTGGCCCATCATTAACGGTGGACTATAATTTCCTTTAATAGCAGAGCTCTCGGATTAGTGACATGGGTGGGTTCAGCCCCTGTCACGGTAGGAGCTGTGAGGCTTTATCGCAAGAGCCTTGCAGCTGTAGGAGGTGTTGCCTGTGTTTCATTCTTGGGAAGGGGAGAGGTTTTGTTGTCTTTTGCTTTACTTTTAATACTGTGTATGAAGGGGATATTCTTCAAAGTAGGAGGGACGAGCGCTTCACAGGTCCCTGAGTGCTCCAGCTGTATTTATTTGTTATTTGTAGTCTGCCATTCTTGCTGAGACTCAAGTAAGTCTGTGCAGTCAACAGAACAACACATCAGAGGAGAGCCGAAGGACTAGGATGACAGAGATCTGAGAACAAAGCAGAAGCATTAGGCGTGGGATGTTCAACAGTGCTGCAAAGAGGGATTACATAGGAAGATCAGTAATATTGTAGGGAGAGCAAGACAGAACAATTGGGTAATATATACTATGGCCCCGGTCACATGGAGCATTAGCCACGCTAGAGGGGCGGAAGATAGGCGGATTTTCTGGGCGCGATCTCACCGCCACATCTGGGAAGCGTAGAGCTCCCATGGCTCACCCGAGGCTTCCTGCCAAAGACGCGCGGTAAAACACTAGTACCTCAGAGGTACTAGTTTCCAGTACTAGTTTCCGGTACTAGTTTCCAGAAACCGCAGGGCAAGGGCGGGTGTCTGATCGCGTTTCCGGTGGCATCCAGCGCCCGCCCATGCCCCATTGCGAAAAGGTTTTTCCCCCCCGAAGTCTTCAGGGATGCGCACAAGCACCCAACGGGGCATGCGCATACTTCAGGTAAAAACAAACAAACACAACCCCGTTTGCCGTGCTGCTTCTTTGGCGCGTCGTGTGATCCGCACCTCCCCCCTAACCACAGGACCGCGAGGGGACGCCTGATCGCGCAGTCGCGTGTTATTTCGCTGCGGGGCAAACAGCCACGCCTCCCTCCCGCCCGCAATATCCGGCCCGTGTGTAGCCCACAGCCTTGTACCGTCTGTTAAATTATGTTCTGGAACCATTATATCTTAATATAGGTCTCATTTGTCTTTTATAAACATGCTGTCCTGAAGCATTCTGTTTTACGTCGTTTGTGGAATGCCAGAAGGCTTCCTGACCTCCTCAGGCAGGTCATTCCACAAGGTGGGAGCCACAGCAGGGAAGGGACATGTACGGACAGTTGTCGGCCTCGCCCATTTGCCTGGCGGTGCCTGCAGAAGGCCCTGCTTAATTAGTGAGGCTGGTGGGGAACCAGAATGGGCTTTATATGTGATAGCCCAGTACCTTGATCTGAGACTGGCAATTGGTGAGCAGCTGATGGAGTGACTGCAGAATGGGTGTCATTTGCACTTAGGTCCCAATAGTAGCTGTGCTCTTGCAGGGTGCCTTATAGAACAGAAGTCTAGTCTTGATGTTATCGTAACACACCGGTCCAGATAGGGGGGGGGGGGGGGGGGGATCTTCTGTGCTAAAGAGAGGTAGAAGAAAGGTGGTGGTTTTTGTTGGTTTTTGTTGTTGTTGTTGTTTTGTAGCTGAATTAACTTGCTTCTCGAGGAGTAATGCTGGGTCCGGCACAACTTAATTGGGTCAGCTCAGAGGAATGCCATCAGAAGGGTGAAATACAATGGCCTTCAAGACTTAGGCTTCCCAACCAGCTAATGCCTCTGTCTTGTCAGGATTTGGTGTAAATGTGTTCACCCATTTCCTGATTGCTGTGGTTAAGAGCCAGTTTGGTGTAGTGGTTAAGTGCCTGGACTCTAATCTGGGAGAACTGAGTTTGATTACCCACTCCTCCACTTGCACCTGCTGGATGACCTTGGGCAAGCCATAGTTCTGATAAGAGCTGTTCTTGAGAAAGAGCAGTGTCTGTCAAGAGCTCTCTCAGCCCCGCCTACCTCACAGGGTGTCTGTTGTGGGGAGGGGAAGGGAAAGGCGTTTGTAAGCCGCTCTGAGACTCCTTTGGGTAGTGAAGGGCCGGGTATAAATCCAGTCTCTTCTCTTCTTCTTAAATTGCTGTGGCTCAAGAGGTCTATTGCATCTTCAGGAGATTTGGCTAGAGAGAGACAGAGCTTGGTGTTGTCTGCATATTGATGGAATCCAGTTACAAAACTGTGAATTATTTATCCTAAGGACTTTACATAGAGATTGAATAGCATGAGGGATTACACTGTGCCCTGTGGACTCCCACAGGACAAATCCTACCCTAAGGACTTTACATAGAGATTGAATAGCACGAGGGATTACACTGTGCCCTCCCACAGGACAAATCCTACCTTGATGATAGTTGGTCTCCAGCAGCAAACCTTTCCCACTTGGTGGTTGTTGTTCAGTCGCACAGTCGAGTCCGACTCTTCGCGACCCCATGGACCAGCTCCCGCCAGGCCCTCCTGTCTTCCGCCGTCCTCCCACTTGGTAAGGAACACTTAAAGCCAATCCAGAGCACACCCCTGGTACCTGCCTCTGCATCCGGACATCTCAATAAGGGAGTATGGTCCACTGTATCAAAGGCTGCAGATAAATCCAGAAGGAAAGGCACAGAGGCACACAAATGAAAGTCACCAGCACAACCTGTGTCCTGTAGCCTGGCCTGAAGCCAAAGGGTCTACAGATACCAGGAGAGGGTATGTTGTCCAGTCTCATCTGTAAGTGCTTCACAGACCTAATTGAGGAAAAAATCCAGCATGTTGTCCAGGTCCATCTACGTTACAAAATCAACTTGATTTCATTAGTAGCTTCTGAAGAACACCTAGATGTTGAAACTTGGGAAGAGCGCCAGTTCCCTCACTCGAGGGCTGTGTGGACGTGCCCTAATGACCCTCCCATCAGGCTGGCTCGCCCCCCCCCCGCCTTTTTAAAGGGTTTTTGATTGCTCCTGCCAAATGGTAATCCCATCTCAGCCCTGGGAGACTTCTGTTCACTTTGACTTTTTAAATCCTGCCTTTCTACCCAGAAGTCCAAGTAGCCCAGCTTAGCCTAGGCTCTTCAGAGGTTAGAAGCTGAGGGTTGGCCACCAAGGATGACTTGGGTTACTATGCAGAGGAAGGCAGTGGCAGACCACCTCTGTGCCCCGTGGCAAGAGTCACCATAAGTTGGTTGCAACTCGACAGCATGTTTTAATTTCTTTCCACCCAAAGTGTTTTATACTACTAAATAACTTGAAAATATTGGGGGTGGGAGGGTTGCGTAACGGATAAATACCCAGGGCACAGAAAGCATGGTGGCTTCCTTTGCCCAATGCTGTATACTCCCACCTGGGGAATCTTGTCAATCTGGACCTTGCTGTAGCTCATTGGCTCCAAAAGGCTGGTGCAAAATTGGTTTTCTCTTTGAGAAAACGAGGACTGCATGGAAAACACAGGAGGGTTAAAAAAAATGGCCACTTCTCCAAGAAGGCTATGAAGAGTTGGAACTTGTAGGTCTACTGAATAGTGGCAGTGGGTCGAAAATGTATTTGCTTGATCTTTTCCCCTACCCTTCCTCCAGGATACCCAGGGCAGTGTATCTGTTCTCCCCCATGTCATCCTCACAACAATCTTGCAAGGTAGGTTAGGATGAGAGAATGTGACCCCTTCACACACCCCATGAGCTTCATGGGAATTTATAAGCGTGAGGTTTTTCTGTTGGCTTCTCTAACTCTGTCATTTTGTGTGCATGTGTGAGTGTGTGGCTCCGTATTCTGCTTTGCTCTGAAGACACATCTCAGTGGGATAGGAAGAATAGATTCTTTTGAACTATGGTGCTGGAGAAGACTCTTGAGAGTCCCCTGGACTGCAAGGAGATCAAATCAGTCAATCCTAAAAGAAATCAACCCTGACTGTTCCCTGGAAGGCCAGATAATGAAACTGAAGCTCAAATACTTTGGCCACCCAATGAGAAGGGAGCACTCACTGGAGAAGAAGACCCTGATGCTGGGAAAGATTGAAGGTCAAAGAAGATGGGGACGGCAAAGGATGAGATGGTTAGACAGTGTCATCGATGCAACGAACATGAAATTGAGCCAACTTCAGAGGATGGCGGAAGACCGGAAGGCCTGGCGGGATCTGGTCCATGGGGTCGCGAAGAGTTGGACTCGACTGTGCGACTGTACAACAACAAAAATGCTCCCCCCAGTGGAGCAAATAAGCACCCAGGTTTGGGCGTAGGCCTCTTCTTTCCTGCATCAATGCCTTGATCTGGATCAGGTCCACTCTCACTCCTATTTATCTTTCGGAGATTGGGAAACCAGCAGAAGATCCATTTGTGGGTCTCCCGTCCTTTCATCAAGCTGGGCCCTGCGTTACCATACCTTCATTTAATACCATAGCTTCATTTAATAATGTCTGGTGAGCTTTGGAGAATCTGCCCATGCTCCCTGTATCTCGTGGTATCATTTAAATCAGAATTCTCTTCACATTAGGATAATGCTAGCACTATGTAAGTTGTGTTGGGTGAGTCCCAGGGTTATGTGCCAGGTATCTTCGGGGCAGACATACATGTTGGGAAATTCAAGTGTACATTTAGAGTTTCACGATTTGGTAACTCAGCCAAAATAAATCTTTGTTGTTCTTTTATTCTTTTTTGTTATGCGGTAGAATGGGAGGGTGCGCAAAGCAGAGTGTGGGGGCCAACTCAACAGGCTGTTTCCTATTCTTCAGTTCTTCAGAGGCATAGCTGAAAATTCAGTGTTTGGTGCAGGATCTGAGCATGACAGTATGTGGGCGTGGCCTGATGACGTCTCCTAAGTGGAAGAGGTGGGCTAGCTGAATTAAGCTTCCAGTGCTTTGGTGGTGGGACTTTGTTGTGATCCGCCTTGCTGTTTGCCAGACGTGCGCCAGTCTGGGCATGCAGGCTCTGTCACAGATTCACTCACTTCCCATCGTTTGAGACTGAGTAACCAAAGCTTCTGTCTGGTGGGCCACAGAGTTCACTGGGGAAGTGAATTTGGATTTGAACTCATCTTGCCTCTATCCCGCGTCAGATGTTGAATTCACTGAGCCTCCCTGACTCTCATTAAAGACACTGGAACTAGGGTTGCCAAACCGACTTACCTCGCCGGCGGGGGACTCTGGGGTGGCTCGCGGAGCGCACGCACGCCGCATGCATGTCACAGGCAAGTGACGTCATGACGCCGGGCACGCTGGGGGCGGGGCCACAGCCATTTGAGGGGAAAACTCTGTTTTCCCCTCAAATGGCTGTGGCCCCGCCCCCAGCGTGCCCGGCGTCATGACGTCACTTGCCTGTGACGTGCACGCAGGGGTGGGGTTTTCCCCCGGGGCCCGATTCCGCGGGGGCAGAAATCGGGCCTCCAAAGCGGGGGGAAATCCGCCCCCCGGGGGGAATTGGCAGCCCTAACTAGAACTGCCTTGCTGTGCAGTGATTTAATTCTAAGTTTTCATATGGAAACAGTGGTATTAGGTGACAGGACCTAATACTTAATGTTTAATGATTACAGACCAACCTGTACGTTAACACAGGATTTTGCCCGCCTGTACAACATTTGGATGCTCTCGTTGTGTCACATGAACACAAAGTTGGTCTACGATGGTAGATAACACTTTAACTATTTTGTGTCTCTATCTGTTAGGGGTCAGCCCAACAACCAGTGGTTCCCTCTAAGCTGAGTTAGTGTGAGGTAGCTCACAGTTTTTTAGTCTCTGGCTCACAGATTTTTGTCTTAGCTCAGGAAGGAGGGCTTCAGAGCAAACTAATTCATGCAGCAGTCAAATTGCTCGCTCACAATTTTAATGCCAGGAGCTCACCGAGTAGAATTTTTGCTCACAGGATTCCACAGTTTAGAGGGAGTTTTGCCAACAACTATCTAGTTCAGGAATAAAACGTTCTACTCCTTCGAGTAGGGTGCCCTGACCTGGATAGTCCAGTCTCACCAGATTTCAGAATCTCAGCAGGGTCAGCCCCGGTTAGTATTTGATTGGGGGGCCCACCAAGGAAGCCCAGGTTCGCCACACAGAGGCAGGCAGTGGCAAGTCACCTCTGAACAACTCTTGCCTTGAAAACTCTACAGCATCGCCATAAGTTGTATGCAGCTAGATGGCACTTTACCACCAATGAAGATTAGGTAGTTTAAAGGTAGACCACTAGCTGGTCTGATCATGTTCTTAATCTAGAGCATAAAGACCCAGGATCACAGAATAGCAATTTGGTATTCCTTAAGAGATCCTGAGTGGAGCTGCGGTGGCTCAAATGGTTAAGACGCTGAACTGCAGGCTGTGGAAGGTCAGTAGTTCAGCAGTTCGAGACCCGGGTGCCGCATGATGGAGTGAGCTCCCGTCTCTAGTTCCAGCTCCTGCCAACCTAGCAGTTCGAAAGCAAGACATTGCAAGTAGATAAATAGGTGCCACTTCGGTGGGAAGGTAACAACGTTCCATGCGCCTTGGTGTTTAGTCATGCCGGCCACATGACCACGGAAACGTCTTCGGACAGCTCTGGCTCTTGGACTTTGAAACGGAGATGAGCACCGCAACCCTAGAGTCGGATTCGACTGGCTTTCGAGCAAGGGAACCTTTACCTTTAAGAGATCCTGAACGTTGCGGCCATGCTTTCTAAATTCTCAATGATTGCTCGTGAGCCATAGTGATTCTGGTGTGAAGAGAAAAGACTGGACACGAAGGTAATCCACCCCTGCCATCTCTACATCCCCTCCACCACAGTTATTTTCCCAGCATTCCTGTGAATGTATGAGACTGTTGCAACAGCATTTCAGTGTCTTGTTAAATTGGAAAGCTCTCTGAAAGGTAAGTTTCTGGATCATTCCAAAAGGCAGAATCCCTTTGTTTCACTGAAGAGGGATGCACTCCAGTCAGTAATAGACACACTGAATTCTAATTTCTATACTGACTGTCTCTTTATTGTTGCAACCATGGAATAATTCAGACTTTCATCATTTAAACGACAGAGTACTTTTTCCTGTGGTTTTTCAGAGCTTACTTGTCTGTGTGAATATATTCTGCTTGTTCTGCTGTACTCAAGCAAGCCGGGAGAAGTGGCAGAATGAAAAGCCAAATCAACTTGCCTCTTGAGTTGATGAAATTCTTTTCCGTTTGGGGTTGGTTGAGCTTCAAGTGCTGCCATTTGGTTGAAGTTCAGGATGGGAGGGTTAACAGAGTCTCTCCCCAGTAACCACACACAGAAGGTGATTGCTAACAATGGTTCATGCATTCCTAAAAATATTCAAATTATAGTGGGAGGTAACCACTAATGTTGATGAGAATGCAAAGAGCACATCTTGATGGCTGTGCTGTGCTACACTTTGACATAATAGAGATTTTGAACAATTGTTGTGTAGTAAATATAAGCTGTAATCCAGCAGGTTGCTTCATTCCGTAGCCTGAGTACTATGTCTAATTTCTGTTCAGATCTTGGCGTTTTGTGGTCAGATTTAACAAATTCAGTTCTGTAGCCTCTTATTCCAGTTCTACTCCGTGTAAGGCTTCCCTCCAACTCTTAAGCATACTTACTAGGAAGCAACTCTCAAACTCTGTGGTATTCCCTTCCAGATAAGTACATCTAGGATTGGGTTGTGAATTTCATGACACTGAGATCAGAGGGGAAGTGCCCAAGGAAGGTCAAAAACTCCTTCCCCTGGTTCCTGTAGTATTCCAGCTTCTTCATTTCTATTTGTAGCTTCTTACGCAAGGATTGTCCTGTTCAGAAGCGCCATAGTGCCCGGGTGGTGCAGTGGTTAAGAGTGTCGGCCTAGTATCTAGGAGAACCAGGTTTGAATCCCTACTCGTGCCATGGAAACTCGCTGGGGGACCTTGGGCCAGTCACACGCTGTCAGCCTAACCTACCTCACAGGGTTGTCAGGAGGATAGAATGGAGGAGAGGAGAATGCTGTATGCCACTTCGGGGGCCCGTTGGGGAGAAAGGCGGGGTAGAAATGAATGGAATAAAAATAAACCATCTGTGGGATAAGTCTGCTGTTCTGCTGGAACTTTGACTGGGGGACAGACAGTTGATGGTCTCCCCATGACCAAAGTTTTCTTATACCAAGTCAAACAATTTGATTGATCTGACTTGCTGTGATGGGCAGCGGCTCTCCAGCATTTTAGGTGGGGCGTCTCCCTCTTTACCTGAGATGAAGGGACCTCGCCTTAATCGCGCCGTGGTTAAGCATGGAATAAACTAGGGAAGGCAAATCGTATTCCGGTGTAGTAAAAACAAACAAACCCCCAAGCCCACAGTTTTGCTCCT